TGTGGCCACATCATTTCTGAGCGTGTTCGGGACAAGTGCCTGAGAACCTCCCCAGGAGAGCCAGGTAGTCTGCGTGTCCCTGGGAGGACCAGCCAGAAGGCACAGGTTGCCCCGAGGCTCGCCCTCCGGGAGGGAGGGCGGGTAAGATCCAGAAACTGGCCTGGCTGATTTTTATCAATCTGCCTTTCAGTGAAATTGTATGGTGCGAAATGGAACAATACAATTGCTTCACAGTCGCTGTCTGCAAAGCCATTCTAGACAAAGGCAGTTTTCACTCACCCTGACTTGGGTGAAGTAATTATGAAACCTTAAAAAATCAGATTCCTTGACTTAAGGTCCAAACAGTGTTGAAGAATGAATACTGCTACAATTTGGCTTTCTAGATTGCTGATTGATTTAAAAAAAAAAAAGACCCTTAGGCATTAACCTATTACTTTTTTTTTTTTGGCAGTTCTAGGGATTGAACCCAGAGACATATTGCCACTGAGATACATCCATGACCCTTTTAATTTTTAATTTTGAAACAGGGTCTCACTCAATTGCCTAGGATGTATTTGAACTCGCGATCCTCCTGCCTCAGCCTCTGGAGCCGCTGGGGTTACAGCTGAGTGTCCCCAAGGCTGGCCATTACTGCTCTCTAACTGTAGGGATAAATCGAAGTGATATCATTAATTAAATAATGTAGGGTAGAAAATATATGGTTCTTATCGTTAAGAGAAAAAAACACTTCAGTAGAGCCACAGGGGAATAAGAAATTAAGCCAGGTAAATTTGATTAAATCAGTGTCCCTTGTCTTTCTCTTTCCATTGTCTTTCCTACTGTGTTCTTTCTCCTCACCTCGCTCCCCACTGATCCTTATCCCCCCAACTCCTCCAGTAGATCCTAAGTCACACTTACCCGTTCAAAACCAGAGCCGCAGATGTGGCCTGAGAAGGCTGGGATTCGTGTAGTGCATCTCACCAGGACAAAAGCAAGGGGAGAAAGTTTGTGGCAGAACAGGACCTTGTGGGAGAGAAAAGGAAATAAGATTGATTTACTGTGTTATAATACACATAGTTAATACAAAGAAATACCCTTTGGCAACACAATCCAGTCCACCTCTGCATCTGTAAGTTCTGTGGCTGGAGTTAGGCCTATGATGTTGAGTCTGTGCTAAACATGAATAGGCTTTCCTTCCTTGTCATTATTCACTCAACAATACACTGTAACAACTATGGACATCGAATTGACTTTCTTTTTTTGTTGTTGCTGTTTTGGTACCAGGAATTGAACCCAAGGGCACTTAACCACCGAGCCACATCCCCAGCTCTTTTTTTTGTATTTTATTTAGAGATGGGGTCTTGCTGAGTTGCTTAGGGCCTCACTAAGTTGCTGAGGCTGGCTTTGAACTCGTGGTCCTCCTGCCTCAGCCTCCCAAGCCACCAGGATTATAGGTGTGTGCCACCGCGTTCATCAGCATTGACATTCTATTAGGTAGGCTAAGTCATCAAGAGATGATTTATAAAGTATATAGGTAGATGTGCACAGTTATATGCAAACAATATGCCATTTTATATGAGGGACTTGAGCATCCATGAATCTCGGATCCATGAAGGGAGGGGATTCTGGAGTCTATTCCTCATGGATACGGAGGGATGACTCCATGGTACTGCATACAGGTCCCCCACTGCCCAGAGACACTGACCACCCAGATAATAAGTCCCTCTACCATGGCACTTGCAGAAGTGCTGGGAGGGATGGGGTGTCCCAGAACTCAGGGAAATTGTCTGCTGGGGCTCAGGTACTGTGAAGCCACAGGTACTAGGAAGCCACAGGGGGACCCTTCTTTGGTCCACTCTCCAAATGCATCTCCAAAAGTGACTTTAGTACTATTAATACTATTTGTTATGATTATAGCTTCCCTTCCTGTAGCTTTACTTCTGTTTTTGAGAAACTTGCATTACTATTGTTTTTTGAACACAGTAGGAAAGAACAAAGGTTCCCGGGGGCCCTCAGCCCTCCCTTCTGGCAGAACTAGTTCCTGGACAAGAGCCTTTATTCTGTCCTTATCCCTGAGTTTATTCTCTTGGACCTTGACTGAAATGGACATTGTCACTTTGGATTTGTCAGTCATTCCTGCTGGTTAAGTGGGCTTTCTGGTAGACCTTGGTCCCAGGTATCTGCAGGGACACCTGTGAAAGATTCTTCCAGAGAAGTGTCTGCATTGGGCATTCAAAAATCCTAATTTAACCCATTGACCGTCATATTTGCTCTCTTGCCCAAAAGGAGCTGTGGTGTTTCCAAATGTTTTTATGCAGTTGCTAATACTGCTAAGCCTTGGGGATTTTGTATCTCCTTTCTTTTCTCCCTGAAGGCATCCGATAGTTTTTCATGAAGATCTCCATGAAGACGGCCCAGAATTTACTATGTCTGTCTCCTGTACCCAGCCTTTTCTCATCTTTCCTCTCTCGTTCCCTCCAACTTCCTGTGGCTCAGCTGCTACTAGGATACCTTAGACAGATTGCCCCCCCTCTGATCATCGCAAGATGCTTCCAGCCACTTTGACTTGCCTTCTCTGAGTTGGTCACCCTTGGAAACCTTAGGTGGGCTTCAGAGTCTCTTCTGTTATGACCGTAACTGTAACCGAAACTCTATCTTGGGTGTCAGAGATGGAACTAGCCGCTCAAAGCTGACATCCCTTTTGAATTCCTTATCCAGTGCTGCAGGGCTGACCAACTTGGATGGGCGTCCCTCAGGGAGTATGTATTTGAGTGGAGGTTAAGGAAAATTAAGCAAGAGTGATAACCCAACGAGAGGCAGATCGAGGGAGGAGGCCTATTTAAGGAGCTATAAGAACTTTCTTAACCGGTCGCCCCTTTCTTCCATGGACTCACCATGGCAATAGCTTCAGGGAGCAGAAAGAAACCAGCAGAAAAGGCCACCATTATGCATCCATTGCATTCATCCCCTGAAATCTGCCTCTGGGCTCTGACTCCGCATTTCTGCATATCTGTCACTGCACCACCTTCTCCCAAGGTAGGTCATGTGGAGTCTTTCTGTCTTTCCCTCCAAATTTCACTGGGGCAAGTCCAGTAGATTTGCACAGTTATCTTCCTCCCTCACTTTCCTGCTTGGTTATTCTGTCATCCCCTCCCCCTGCTCCTAGGGGCTTGCGCCCCATCTGTCCCATCCTGGGAACTGTGAATCTGGCAGACCAGCACGCACAGCACTGTACCCTGTGTGTAGAGCTCTCCTCTGTTTTGTTCTGAGCCCTTGTTCTGCATTCCAGCTCTGCCTACGCTACACCCCTCTGGCTCCTTGGATGGTACCTTCTCCCACCTGCTACCTTTATGTGCACCTCTGGTTTTCAGTGTGGTCTATTCCTGCCAGAGCCAAGTCTGGTCACAGCATATTATAGAGACAGAGATTTCTTTGCATTTATGTGACTTTTACTCAGGTGAGAGGTACCAGATTGAGAATTCAAGGACAGACACCCCCCCCCCACACACACACACATCTTTCTTCTTTCTTTCTTTCTACTCGGGGATGAACCCAAGGCCACTTAACCACTGAGCCATATCACCAGCCCTTTTTTATATTTAGAGACAGGGTCTCACTGAGTTGCTTAGGGCCTTGCTAAGTTGCTGAGGCTCGCTTTGAACTCTCAATCCTCCTGCCTCAACCTCCCGATTCGCTGGGATTACAGGCGTGTGCCATGGCACCCGGCTCAAGGATAGATTCTGAAGGGGCACTGGAGGGGCCCAATCCCTCTCACATCTTTGCTAAGCAGCCTGCAGGCATGTACAGAAGACCAAGGATCTGACCATAACTGTTAAACAAGAAGCACTCTTTGCAAAATAGTGTACCGATAGGGTTCTGTCTCCACTTAGGAATCCTAATAAATCTGTTATAAGTTGAAAACATTGCAAGTCAAAAATGCATTTAGTTCAATCCTTCAGTCTCTCTCTTTCTCTTTTGAGAAGGGATCTTGCTCTGTTGCCCAGGCTGGCCTACAACTCCTGGGCTTAAGCAATCCTCTTACCTTAGCCTCTCCTGCTGGGACGATAGGTACGTGCCACCACCATGCCTGGCTTCCTCAGTGTTTGAAAACAACAATATACTAATATAATGGTTCATGTATATCATTTTTTTATAAAGGAAAAATAAAATGGAGCTTACAAATGCTGGAAAGGGTAGCCTTTAGAGATGGCTCTGATAATCCCATCCCTGTTCTTGGGCCATCAACCAATGGGATAGGATCCATGAAAGTGGGTTGTACTGCAGACTCTGTCAGCGAGGGTTAGCTTCAAAGGGTCCCATGTGCTTCCTTAGACTGTGCAAGACAGAGGACAAGAGGCCCTCTGATGTTAATAGGTAATGTGAGCTTGGTCTACTGGGATAGGGGAGGGAATAAAACAGATGCTGACTCAATTAACTTGTCAGTGAAGAAAACCAAGAACTGCAGATGGGTGTTGCTATTTATCTTTACTATTTAGTTTGACTTGATATGAATTTATCTTGTTATTATGGACTTTACTTATCAGATACAATATGCATCAAATGCAGAGATCAAACGACAAGATCTTGGGGGCTGGGATTGTGGCTCGCTGATACAGCGCTTGCCTAGCATGTGTGAGGCACTGGGTTTGATTCTCAGCACTGTATATAAATAAATAAAATAAAGGTCCATTGACAACTAAAACATATATTTTTTAAAAATGACAAGATCTTGGAATTATAATCATCCCTTCACATCCTGGAGGGATTGTTTCCAGGACCCCCTTCCTGAGAAAATCCTAGGATGCTCAGGCTCCTTAAATACATGGTGTAGTATTTACACAGAACCTCTGCACATCCTCCTTCTTACTTTGAATCATCTCTAGATTACTTACAAGATCATCAAGCACTATCCAAATAATTGTTATGCTGTATTGTTTGGGGAATTATGATAAAAAACCCAAGCTTACTCGTGCTTAATAAAGATGCAGTTCTTTTTCTCCTGAAATACTTTTTATCCTTAGATGGTTGGATCTTTGGATGTGGAATCTGTGAATATGAAGGGCCAAGTAGACAGTCCTCTGGATTCTCACCTGAGCATGGTAGATTCCTAGTTCCATCAACGATGGAGATACGGTGTGTACACTTTCTCAATTACTTGGACCTCTGATTTTGTTTCCATTACTCAATTTCCACATCCTCTGGTTCCTCTGTGGCTGTTCAGAGTAGATCTCATGTCTTATGATAATTGTCGTTATTATTATTTTAACAAATGAAAAGGTTTCTAGTCTCTTTGCTCTTGATTTGGGGGATTGCAAAAGGCTCTGTACATCATTTGTGGTTACAGTGAAGTACATCTTAGGTTCACGCTCTCTCTGGGCTACCATAACTCTCCTCTCACCCTTGTTATTCTTCCACATCAGCGTGAGCCATTCCACACTCCTCTTAAGAATCAAACTCATTGTTATGGAGCTAATACAGTTGTAGTATTTACAGAGAGCAGTTTCTGACCCGAGGAATGTTCAGATGCTTATGCTAATGAGCTATATATCTTTTTTTTTAATGGAAAAATAAAATGGAGCTCACTAATTTTAGAGAGAGTAGCCTTTAGAGATGGCTTCAAGAATCCCAACCAGTTATAATGAACTTTTCTTGGTCCCAGAACACTGCGTTTTCCTGACAGAGCAAACCCAGAGCCCCCATGACACTGATTTGGTGCTGGAGAGGCTGAAACTTGTTGAAACTTGGATTCTTTTTCAGTTGGTGACATATCTGGACATTTTTCCATTCTTGTTAAAAAAAAAAAAGCTTGTCCTTAAATGGCTGAGAAAGCTTAGGAAAATATTTCATTGACATCCAGATTTGAGTATGGCCCCCAGTCACTTGTGGATGTCCTGTACTTTGACTTGAAGCACAATATACCCTCACAATCTCACCAGAGAGAAAATGGTCATGTTGCCCGAGTTGGTCTTGAGCCTCTTAAAAGAATTTTCTGGAAGTATCTGAACACAGGTATCCCTGGGTGCCTGGACCTCTACAAGAGATAACTGTATCCTGGTGGAGCTTCTATGCTTAAAATTCCTCCTGCCTCCAGCCTGAGCTCAGCTGGCCTGCTCTGGTCTGTCAGAACCCCACTCTAAGCTGACTGGGCTATGGAAAACCAGTCTTTCAAGGCAAGGAGTTGTGGGTCAACAATGCTTTTCCCTTGGAGCTATTTTTATTTTAGTAGGAGATTCCTGGTAAAATTACCAGTGCCTTCATCTAAGTAAATAAATCTCCAGGGTGGGGAATTTGAGGTATGTGGCATGACAAGTTGGCTAGATAATTTTGCCTGGGAGAGGGGTTCCTATCCAACAGCCTGTCCTCCCCAAATGAAGGAACTGAACATTTTACAAGTCATCCTGGTTAAGTTACCTCAGGTCTAAATCTATAAATAAATAGGGATGATGATTTTATAATTGTTTCCTGCTCTTACATTTTTTGATTCCATGAAATAAGTGATTTCTTGGTACCAGTGAGACAGAGGTCACCTACTTAGTTTTCCTGAACTCAGATGGGCTCACTGATTCTTAGAATTTGCATTAAACATTTGTACACCCAGGTTTATGGCAGCTTTATTCACAATATCTCAAAGGTAGAAGTGACCCAAGTGTCCATGGATGGATGAGTGGACAAACCAAATGTGATATATGCATAGCACAGAATGTTCTCGAATCTTCAAAAGGAAGAAAATTCTGACACCTGTTACAATATGGATGAAAAAAAAAAAAGACGTTGTGTTAATTAAAATAAGCCAGTCACAAAAAGACAAACGCAGTATGATTTTACTATTTGAGGTGTTAGAAAAGGCAAACTGGGACTGGGATTTAAGCTCACTGGTAGAGCATTGGTTAGTCCATGTGAGGCACTGGGTTTGATCCTCAGCATCACATAAAAATAAAATAAAATAAAAGTATTTTTTAAAAAGATAAATATGTAGATCCAAAACCCTGGCTTAACAGGGTTTGGGGAAAGGGAAATAGGGAATTGTTATTTAATGGGTTCAGTTTGGGAAAATAAAAGAGTTCTGGAGATGGATGCTAATGATTGCAGAATGATGTGAATATATTTAGTGAACTACACACTCAAATATGGTTCAGATGGTAATTTATGTTATGTACATTTTACTACCACAACAATAAAATTGCATTGGACTTACACACTCAACATTGGAGATCGGTTAAGAAACAAACACAAGTCCATCACATTTTAATTTGTAGTCATTTTCTCTTACTTCATTGATCTGAGCCTGTGAAAAGTAGTTGAGTTATACTGTTCCAACTCCTTAGTTGGTTTTTATACAATGGCTTGAGTTTGCCTTATCTTGTTTTGTAGCTCATGGGACAGGAAGGCATGTGACATATTTTGCCAAGTAATAGCACTTGTTTAAATGGAATGAATGTAGCATAATAGAGAAAATTCACAGGCAATGTATTAGTATCCTCAATTTCTCCTTCTTGCAATTATGGTGGGAAAGGAGTCTAAACAAGTCTATCTTGTACTTAAAGCATGGAGCTTAAATTTGGAATTTCCTTTGAAAAATATCTAGTATACAACATAAAGCAACTTAGAAGGCAATAACTGGCTTCATCCTCTCTACCTAAATTTAGCCCTCTCTATGAAGGTGAGTTTGAATCTAATGCATTCTCTTTAGCTTGGCCTTGGCTGTGTGGAAGCTGAAAGGTGCTTAGACCATCAATGGACAGAAGGCTGGAGTTGAAGGGAGAGGATCTAGTCAAAACCATCAAGGTCACTTAATTTTACCTTAATTGTACTTGTTTTCTTCTAAGTGTCAGAGTAAATTACATACTTAGGGATTTTTTTTCTGTAATTATTTTTTTATTTTGGTAACATACACATAACACAAAACTTACTATCTTCATTTTTTTTTTTTTTGGTACCAGGGATTGGACCCAGTGGTGCTTAACCACTGAGCCACATCCCCAGCCCTTTTAATTATTTTAATTTTTTTTTAGAGAGAGAGAGAGAGAAATTTTTAATATTTATTTTTTAATTTTCGGCAGATACAACATCTTTGTTTGTATGTGGTGCTGAGGATCGAACCTGGGCCGCACGCATGCCAGGTGAGCGCGCTACCGCTTGAGCCACGTCCCCAGCCCAATTATTTTAAATTTTGAGACAGGTTGTTAAATTGCCTAGGGCTTCACTAAGTTGCTGAGACTGGCCTCAGACTTATGGTTCTCCTGCCTCAGCCTCCAGAGGCACTGGGATTACAGGCATGAGCCACCGCATCCAGCCCATCTTGACCATTTTTTAAGTGGACAGTTCCACTCACACTGTAGTGGTCCCATTGCCAACATCCACCTCCAGAACTCTTGAAACTTTGTACCTTACAGCACAGCTTCCCGGCCTCTCCGTCTCTATGAATTTGACAACTCTAGGTGCTTCCTATAAGTGGAATCATAAGTGTTCCTCATTTTAAGATTGGCTTACTTCACCGAGTGTAATGCCTTCAGGGTTTAGCTGTGTTGTAGCAGGTATCAGAATTCCCTTTGAAAGGCTAAGCACATTTCATATATACACCAGGTTTTGTTTATCCCTTCCATTTTTGATATATATATTTGGGTTGTTTCTCATTATAGATAATTTTGGAAATTACAGAATCATATAAAAAAAAAAAAGAAAAAAAAATAGCCAGGCACAGTGGTACATGCCTGTAATCCCAGTGGCTTGGGAGGCTGAGGCAGGAGGATCATGAGTTCAAAGCCAGCCTCAGCAAAAGCAAGGTGCTGAGCAACTCAGTGAGACCCTGTCTCTAAATTAAAAAATGTAGAATCTGGCTGGGGAGGTGGTTCAGTGATGCCGCTGAGTTCAATCCCCAGCACCAAAAAAAAAAAAAAAAGTATATAAAGTTCTACCCCCTCCATTGCCTGCAGGGAGTGGCTGTTACCATTTTATCACATTTCTTTCTGGTGATGAACACTGAGGTTGAAAGCCAGCTATTCACAACTGTAGGTGATGAGAACTTCACACGTGTCTTTTTGTCTTAATTTCTGATAATGATTCTTAGAAAGAATCGTCATTGGGCCAGTGGGTGTGAATATTTTAAAATACTTGATGGGTAATGCCAAAAAGTCTTCCAGAAATAACTGGAAACTGAAACCACGAGGAGAGTGAGGCACAGAGAGTCTTCCTTTGTGTCTTTTTGGCTCTCTTTACGGTGAAAAAGTATTCTGATAAAAACCAAAACTTCCATGCATTTGGCAGAATCGTTTCCCAGGTGTACACTTTGGGTACCATACACATAAAATATCTGGATACTTGATTGATGTCTTTCCTCCCTCCCAGGTTCTTTCAGAGATTTGGGACTTTGAACAGTTATTTTCCTTGAGGAATAGAGTTATTGCTTCTGCGTACAGGCCCCATTGGGGTTTGGGATCAGAAACCGGAAAGAGATCAGGGTTATACTCTTGCCTTGATTAATAGGATATGATGGATCTAGCCTCACTTCTTGCTGCACTGAGCACAAAACTAAGGGCTGTCTCCCACCCTAAAGACTGTGTGAGGTCCATGCTGTGCAGGCGGAAGATGAATTCAGAGTCTGACTGTTCAGTGCCACCTTCAGGGACTTTCCATGTGATGTTGCAAACAAGCCCAGCAACAGCCTCGGGTCCTGAGGAGGTTCTGTCAGTGGGCAACTGCTTTGGGCTGACAGTCTGTCCAGATCAGGTGGTTTCTTTCTGGAGGCAATGTGATCTCATTGGTAGAGCACCTCAATGTGGTGGCCTTGGGGACTTTGCTGGTTCCTTTGAGCTTTGGTTCCCCATTTCTTTCCTCAGTGAGAATCACTTCAGATGACTGTATTAAAGGCACTTCATGACCAGGAAAGATCTACATAAATATTTGGTGTTAATATACCCAAGGGGCAGGCTGGGGATGTGGCTCAAGCGGTAGCGTGCTCGCCTGGCATGCGTGTGGCTAGGGTACGATCCTCAGCACCATGTACTAACAAAGATGTTGTGTCTGCTGAAAACTAAAAAATAAACATTAAAATTAAAAAAAAAAACAAACCCAAGGGGCAATTATTTCATGCTGCAAAGATGGAAATGTTTGTCAATTTGGAAAGCAATTGTGTTTCTCAGATTTCATAATCATTGCACCCAGTATCACCTTAAAATGTATAGCAGTTCTTCCTCATAGTATGGCCTGATGCATTTCATATAGTGTCTTTTTTCGTTTACAAAGTTCTGTTCCATGTGCTATGGAATTTAATCTCTACAGCTACCTCATGAAATGGAAACTGCTACTTTTTTTTTTTTTTTTTTTGGTACCAGGGATTGAACCCAGGGGCACTTAACCACTGAGCCACAACCCCAACCCTTTCTGTGTTTTATTTTGACACAGGGTCTTGCCTAGTTGCTTGGGGCCTCGCTAAGTTGCTGAGGCTGACTTTGAACTTGAGATCCCCCTGCCTCAGCCCCCCAAGACACTGGGATTACAGGCGTGTGCCGTGGTGCCCGATGGAAGCTGCCTCTTCTATTTGCAGAGGAATATGATGGTGCTCCATGAAACTAAACAATGTATCCCAGGTCCCCACAGCAGCAGAATTGAGGCAGAAATGCAGGACACCTGGATTTAAGGCCAGTGAACTCTGTGCCCACTCCCCAAACCTTGACATCCTTAAACTGGAAGATTCCATGGGCATTTTCTCATGCACCTTGCACGACCTTGGGCAAGTTGCTGCACATTGAGACCCAGCAAGCTGGAGTTTGAGGGACACAGAAGTTCCCTACACATCTACAATCTGGAATTTCCCTGTCTCTCTTTTTTTCAGGCCATGCATACTTTGTAGTTTTTGCTTTTGTGCTGATTCACGTGGCCCTGTCTACCCACTGAGCCAGAGCAGTGCTGAGGACAAGAACTGAGTCATGGGACCATCCTGTGGCCCTCTCCTCCTGTGTCTGCCTACACACAGAATACACTTCTTTTCTGTTGTTACTTTTAAAGGCGAGAGGCTTATTATTTATTAGCCATTTCGAGACAGTCTATTTAGAGCAGTTATTGCCTATTTTGCAAACACTCGTTAGGGCTAGGTACATATTGTGGTGTTTGACCCTGTAAATAGGAGTTTATTATTATCCTCCAATGTTTCATATAAAAAAGTGACATTAATATCTTGCATTTTCCACTCCCTGTGGCTAACGCTAACTAGCAATCTGTGTTAGCCATTTTTTAGAACTTTCCCAAAGGTAGGAAGAGAAAGAACTTCTTATGTTATTTGTGAGTGGGACATGGCAGAAAGTCGAAGTTAAGGTGAAGGTTTTAGTGATTTTTTCCGTTTTCAGATGTGTGGGACTCCTGTGGAAATCCTGGCTGGGCACCGGAGGGGAGAAACCAAACACTGGCTGCTGGATCTGACTTCACGCAAACCTGAAAAACTGCCCAAACTCGGTTTCAGCACGGGGTGTCCAGACAGCCCTCTGTGGACTGTGGCCGTGAAAAACCATCAGCCCAGACGAGCAAATCCAGAGTCTACTAAATACCAACAATTGTCCTGCCCAGAGCCATCCTGGGTCCTGTGGGGATGGGTGATTCTAGCCCAGGAAATTATAGGCTGTCCAGCCACCAGGCCTTCTAAAAAGATTATGGGGTGACTTACTGATCTTTAGGTGGGTCAGGGGTTTTGAGGGCAGGTTAGATTTAAAGCCTGTAGTTAGTGCTGAAAGGGCTGCGTCTGGAATCTCAGGGGGATGTAGGTGCCATGGGAAAAGCACCAGGCAGAAAGGGATCTATCCGGGCCGCCATCCTGGTTCCCACAGCCAGTGGGTGGACCTCCTCACGTACCCTTTCAGAGGCTCCGCTAGCTCCTTGGGGACAGGGAGGGGTCACAGCAGGCTGGTCAGCCCCTCTGTCTTCTAGAGTGGGATACACATTTCCCCAGCTGGTCAGCATCAAGAGCACACCCCTTCTGTAAGATACCTTCAAAGGACCCTTCTATGGCTTGATCCATTTAATTTTAAGTAATTCTCCATCAGATATTTCTATTCCCGTTTGATAGTTTTATGGTGCTTCAGAGAATCTGCTTTTAATGAATTTCATATTTAATGAAAGAGGTCTCACTGGGGACAAGCACGAAAAGAGTGAATGCAAGAGAAGCGTGTGGGAAGGGTCAGTGCGAATGAGGACTTTTGGCACATGTTGTGGGATGAATTGTGCCCCCTACCCCATGATCATATGTTCCAGCCCCCCACACCTCACCTCAGAATGTGATCTTATTTGGCAATAGGGTCATTGAAGATAATAGGTTGTTAAAATGAGGTCCTGCTGAATTGGGGTGATTAAGGCAGAGTCTGGGTGATGATTCAGTAGTCTGTGGGACCAAAGATGGCCAGCAAAGAAGCTGGGAGAAAGGCTTGGGGCAGTCTCCCTCACAATCCTCAGAAACAAGGATTAAACCAAATGAGCAGGAGGTCGTTGCCTGAGGATGTCTCCACACTCACAGTTCCCAGGGCATAAGCCACAACATAACCTCTTAGTATGTTTTTGGTAACAAGTGGGTTTCCAGCCAATCACAGACCATCAAATTCAGCCAATTACAAGCAGCCAATTGATCACATGTTGCCCAAATTAGGCAAATATCCTATTGTAGCCAATCAGGTGATTTCTCTATTTTGCATCCAAGTTTGGTTTATAAAAGGTCTTGTTCACCTCGATGAGTGCATCTCTCTCAATCTTTTCTGAGTCTGAGCACTGCCTGATTTATGAATCTTTTCTTACTCAAATAAACTCTGTTGTATTTAATTTGTCTTGTTTTTCTTTTAAGAGAATTAATCTGCCATTACCTCAATTTTGGAATTCCAGCTTCCAAAATTGTGAGACAGCACATTTCTGTTGCTTAAGTCACCAATCTATGGTAGCCACAGCAAATTCATACATTTTCCTACTCCACCCTCTTCACAGATGGGCACCTCACTCCTTGTGTATTGTTTTCTGTGAGTATTTTTCCCTCTCACTAAAAATTTAATGTTCTTTTTTTTAAGACAAATTTTTTAGTTGCAGATGGACACAATACTTTTATTTTATTTTTATATGGTGCTGAGGATTGAACCCAGTGCCTCACAACCCCAGCCCTATTTAATGTTCTATAAAATGTTTTTTGTTTTTTTTTTTTGGTACTGGAAAGAGCTTGGAAACAAGAAAAATAATTAAGGAAAAATTAAATACACCGTTTAATTTTAAGACTTTAAGTTTTTTTTTTTGGTGCTGAAAATTACCATCCCCCTCTTTTGGTACCAGGGATTGAACCCAGGGGTGGCACCTAGCCACATCCCTAGCTCTTTTTTATATTTTATTAGAGATAGAGTCTCACTGAGTTGCTTAGAGCCTTGCTAAGTTGCTGAGCCTGGCTTTGAAATTGAGATCCTCTTGCTTCAGCCTCTTGAGCCGCTGGGATTACAGGCATGTGCCATTGTGCCCTGCTAAAAAACTCTTTCTGGATCAATTTATTTGACTGTTTTTATCAGGGACTTTCTTAACATTCCATTGTTTAAGCTAATAATCTGGGTGGTTTATTCTCCAACCCAGTCCCGTAGTTCCTATTGCCTACCCAACTGAGAACATGCTCTTTTCCTTCAGCCTAACACTGCACATTCTCTCCCCGTGTCGGAAGGGCCGCCAGAGCCCCAGCTTGCTGGTTCTGTGGAGCAGTTCTGAAAAGTCCTGCTTCTCATCGTGGGTCTCTCTGAAGTCCATTTTCCTAGTTGTGTCTTTGGTACTGACCACTCAGAATCCACATCACAGAGACAGTCTGGCTGTCTCTCTGTAGTCAAGTCCTCAAAGGGGTGGCTTATGATCGTCACGTGCTTAAGGGCTAACCTTGGGTTTGGAGGACATGAAACTTAATTTTGTGCGCTCACCAGAACAGTTCCAACAGCACTGTACTAATGAACTCCTAAGGGAATGACAGTGAGCCTGCATGTGAGAGATGTCTTCCCAGGGACCGGTGTCCCATGTTCCTGCCCCAGTGCTGTTTGCCAGGGATGCAGTCAGGACAGAGGGAGCTGGTCCCTCTGACAGCCTCAGGACCACACCTTCCCCATGTCGCTGTTCAGTCCTCAGAACACTCTCTGGCTTAGAGTTGTACTCCACGCAGAGTACCCGCTCTTGGTTACCAAAACTCCTTCAAGTTCAAATACAAGTTCAGATACAATTACTTGACAGCCTTCCTTTAGGTTCATTTTGTAGTTAACTATATGAAATCGCCCTATTTGTGGGTCAAAAGCTTTCAATATTGAGAACTTCACATAGCTCAGCATAATAGTCTTTTAAAAAGCTCTTTCAATTTTCAATTACAGATAGGCAAGCAAGAAGTTGAAAAAATAGAATAGAAAGGTCCCATGAACTCATTACCCAGCTGCTCCCAATAGTGACATCTTATCTAATAGGCTTCATTATTGAAATTGGGGTGTCAATGTTGGTGCCAATTTACTGATTCCCACAGGCTTATCTGGGATTTTACCAAATGAATAACGCCCTACATCCTGCTTACTTCCACCAGACACAATTAACAGTCTTTTGGGGTCTGTTTATTTTGTAAGTGATAGAACTTTTAATTTAACTTATTTAGTGGTGCTGGGATTGGAACCCAGGGCTTCCAGCATGGTAGGTTAGCACTCTAGCCCTGTGTTACAACCCCAGCCTTTTCAAATTTTGTTTTGACACATGATGTCACTAAGGTTTTCAGGCTGGCCCTCAAACTTGTGATCTTCCTGCCTCAGTCTCCTGAGTTGCTGGGATGACAGGTGTGTACCAGGTGTGCACCTGGCTTATCTATCTATCTATCTATCTATCTATCTATCTATCTATCTATCTTTGGTGCCGGGGATTGAACCTAGGGCCTTAATATGGTAAGCATGTGCTCTACCACTGAGCTACACCCTCAGCTTTTTCATCTTCAGATTTTGCAACAAGCACATTCTCAAGATAACAATCCGAACAATACAATTTATATGTAAAGTGGAAAGGAAAAGATGGTTTCTTCTTCTCGCTTACTCTTTAGAGGGACTACTAGTTGAAGCCTTGATGTAAATTTCCTTACTTCTTTTCTACCAACACACACACACACACACACACACACACACCACACCCTGCATTTGTACATGTGAATACATATGTAACTTCTTTTATTAAGACAATCATATTTTATAAACTGTTTTTTTTTTCATTGCCAAAACTGGATCTCTCTATATATGTTAGTCCCTCTTTATTCGTGGGAATATGCTTCAAGAACTCTGGATACCTAAAATCCATCGACAGGACTGAACTCTGTATTTACTATGTTTTCCCATACACACAAACCCATGAAAGATTTTAATTTACAAATTAGGCACAGTAAGAGTTTAACCACTACTGCTGAAAGTAAAATAAAGCAATTATGACAATGTAGTGTCATAAAATTGCCTATATTACCATTCTTGCATTTTAGGGTCATTATTAATTAAAATGAATGATCACAAGCACTGCCATACGCCTGCAGTGGAACCCATGACCAGGGTGGCCAGCTTTTTGTTGCTGTGACAAATACCTGAGAATAACAACTTAGAGAAGGAAAGATTTGTTTTGTTTCACAGTTTCAAAGGTTTCGATTCATGGTAGGCTGGCTCCATTGCTTTGGGCCTGAGGTGAGGAGGAGCATCATGGTGGGAAAGGGATTGGCGGAGGAAGACAGCTCAGCTCAGCTCAGCTCATGACAGCATGTCGGAGGGACCTGGGGGCAGAGAGAGGAAAGGCCAGAGACAGGAAACAGTCATCCAGGACTCACTTCCAGAGACCTACTTCCTCCAATCATGTCTACCTGCCTCCAGTTTCTACCACCTCCCACTCTTCATTCAGTTATCAATGGATCCATCCACTGATAACGTCAGAGCCCTCATGACAATCACTTCCCCCAAACCCCACCTCTGGGCATTACTGTCTTGGAGACTAACCTTCAACTCGTGAGTCTTTGGGGGACACTTCATACCCAACCCATAACAACCTGGATATCCACTAAGTGACAGATGGTAGTACACAGTGTGGATATGTCATGGACAGAGGGAGATTCATGTCCTAGGTGGGATGGACTGAGATGGGATATTTCATTGTGCTAGTCAGAATGGTGTGCAATTTAAAACATATGGATTTCTGGAACTTTTCATTTATTATTTTCAGACCACAGTTGACCTTGGGTAACTGAAACTGCAGAATGTTAGCAGTCCATGGGTAAGGAGAGTTTAATGTGCTCTTTAATTTGGAGCACAGTTATTAAATTTCTAAGGAACATCTGCTTTCTCAACTGTAAAAGTATCACCCACAAAGCTTTGGGGTCTAGGACAGAAGGTGGCAAACTTTCTTCTGCAAGTGTCCAGGTGGTAAATATGTTATATTTTGCAAGTCTTAAAGTTTCTGTTGCAATCACCCAGGTTTGCCATTGTAGGAAAAAAAAAAAAAAAAGAAGGAGCTATAGACAAAATGTAAACAAACAGAAGAGGCTTCATTCCAACAGAACTTGATGGATACTGAAATTTGAAGTTAAAAAAAAGTTGAAATTCATAGAATTTTCACAGATCACAAACCATTTTTATTCTTCTATCATTTATAAATGTAAAAAAAAAAGTCTTGACTCATAGATAGTATGAAAATAAAGGTGGTAGACAGGATTTAGCCACAGGCTGTACTCTGCCAGTCCCTGGTCTATTTGACAGAGGCTGAACTTTGGGGTCAGGCAGACTACGATTTGAATTGCGTTAGTCACTCGTTAGCTCTGTGACCTTGGGTAGGTTACATAATCCTCTTCAACTTCAGACCTTGAAGAGTTGCTGTGAACATTAGCGATAACTTATGTAAAGTTTCTGGCATGCAGAGAGCCCTTAGTAAATGTGAGTTCCTTTTTGATTTCTTGATTTGAAGATCTTTCCCACACTAGAGTTCAGTAACCGGGAGCACAAAGTCCATCTTGAAGACTTTTTAGGGCAAAGAAGATAGAGAAGTGGATATAGGCTGGTTTCAGCAGATTCAGCAGATTCAGTCTACTCTTTGCCCTGATTGCAAATGCACATATGTGTGCAGAGAACTTCCATGTTTACATATGATGACAGATGAGAAAATGCCTCTTTATGATGACAGAGAGAAAATGATCTCTCACAGTGTCCAAATATAAGAGGTCCTGAATTTTATGTTGTATGGGAGATGCCTCCAATTGAGCTTTCTTCGTCCTTTATAATTTTTACAGTGCTTTAGAGTGTAAGTTTTTTTTTTAAATCAGGAAGTTTTAACTAAAGGAAAAAAATCAGTGTGGATTGTATCTTCTGCAAAAGAGACATCTCAGTGCTCTGTCACAAAGGGCCGGGGGCGACAACCCCTTGGATGAGGGATTTTTTCAGACTCTTCTCAACTCATCCAATTTCTTCTCCAGACAGATCCCATGCTTGGATATTCCAACCTATCATGGAATTTAAAATGATCTATGTGTGTCTTAATCAATATGGAGAGGCTATAACAAAATATCTGCAATTGAGTAATTTATAGAGAACAAAAATTTATTTCTCATGGTTCTGGAAGCTGGGAAGTTCAAGACCAAGATGGTGGTGTCTGGTGAGGGCTGCTCTCTGCTTCCAAGATGGGACCTTGAATGCTGTGTCCTCACGTGGTAAAGAGCACAATCACACAAAGAAGCCTTTTTTATAATGGCATTGACACATTCGTGAGGGTGGAGTCCTCATGATCTAAACACCTCCCAAAGGGTTCCACCTCTCCACACATTT